TTTTTGAGTCTTTGAGAATCAATGGGGACCTTGTGCCTGTTGCAGAGCTGCCCCCACTTTCATGCTTTGTTAAGCTCTTCCCATATTTTCATAGTGGGTGTAACAGGTCTGAAGGATGATCCTCGTGTTTTGCACTTCCATTTCCTAGGATAGTAAAGGACTTTATCCAGTACAGGGGTGCAAAGGACACAGCACTTTTCAGCTCACTTTAGGAATGGGGATGACTTAGCAATGTATGACTGCATCAGCTGCTTCTTTCTGTTGACTGTGGAAGAAAGGAAGGTCTGACAGCTATGCGTGGATGATCTGAATTACCACGTCCTGTCTTAGGCAGAAGTGCCAGTGTGGAAAACAAAACATAGCAGGCATTAATAGACCATTTCCCTGACTGGTAACACTACAAAATATTCCATCTACTTCATTATAGGCTTTGGTCCCATGCTGGGCTCTTCTGCAGACCTTCCTGTGAGGGTTTCTGTAGCAACAGGGAAGTATTATTAATACCAACCACAGTAAATTGCAAGGTACAAATCGTCAGTGCTTGAAGCTGATATATCTGATTTATTATCATTCATAGCTCCAGTTCCTCCGTTTCTTCCAAGTCCTTACCTGCTTAAAGTGATCTCTAGAAGGGCCCATTTCCCCACTGCATCCCCTTGCCCTGAAACTTTATCACGCAACCTGGTTCTCCCACTCTCATTCAACAATCCCACTCCTTCCTCTATTGCCAACTGTTGTAAGAAAAGCCCATTAGCATCCTGCCTGGGATTGATTAATCAATATGTGGTGTATTAGATCATTTTCTCCCAAACTGCTTTTTGTACCACATGCAAAAAAAAACCCAGAGTTTAGAATTGGGGTATTGATTGTGGGGGTTGCCTTGAAAATTATTATAGTATCATTTTAGATGTCCCTTCATCTAATTGGAAATAGATGCCTGGATGAGATGCAGCATGCATTTGCTGTACAATGTCAAGCCTTGCCTGAGACCCCCAACCCTGGTTGGGTTTCAATGGTTGATGGGTTCTTTGTTGGATTGGAGGATCTCTGGATGGTTTACTTGCAGCGTGCTGCCTGCAGTGCTACCAAACCACTTTGCAGCCTTCCCACATCTGCTGCCTGCAGCCAGCTCTGCCCCTCTTCCTCAGCCCCATCCCCGTGCTGCTCTGCTGGCTGAAGAGCTGGCTGTCCTTTTGCAGGTTAGCAGCCAAGAAAAGATGTGGGTGGAGAAGTTTCACCCTGAAGTTTTTCACAGCTCCAGCCATTGGCTGTTCCCTAGCTGCTTGCCTTTCATCTTGGTTTCTCCCATGCCCACTCGAGGTTTGTTAAAAAGAAGCAAAAAAAAGAGAACTTAAAAAAAAAAAAAAAAAAGAAGAAGAAGAAAAAATAGGAAGTAAAAGCCCAAACCTTGCTGCAGTTATGGCAGCACACGCAGAGCAGTGGGTGTCAGTGGTGCTAAGAGTCCTTCCAGCTCTGACCCGTCCCACATCTCAGCTGCAATCATGAGTTCCTACTGCAGCCATACTGGATTATCATGAGGTGTTGCCTCTTGCATCCAGCAGTGGTGGAATGCATTTTTCTGCCATCTCTCCTGAAGGAAAGCTGCGTTCCCCAGGTGCAGGATCCTCGTCGGAGCTATGAACCTACTTTCAACGTGTAGCTTAATTAAGATTTGCAAATGTCTGTGAGACTACAAGATACAGTCTGTGTAAACTGTGACTATGCATTAATAAGGAACAAAGCAGGTGCTTCTCCCACCAAGCAGGAACAGAGGAAGGCTGATCTTCCCTTTCCTCTGCCCTTACCTGACCGCTGCCATATGCAAGGTTTGCTTGGCTGGGCTGGGTTTGCTGCCTTGCTTTTGCTCACCCTTCTTCCTAACGGCCCCACCTCGGGTCTGTCCTTAGGGTTTGAAATCCCCGGGACGCCAGGCAGCGTAGGACTGAATGCAATTACGGGGAAGCTGAGGTTACCGACTGCTTCCTTAATGGGCCATTCATTTCCTCCTGCAAAATAGTGATTGATTGATCGCGCTGCATGAATGGGGCTTTGTTACTGCTGCTCTTCCTGCTATGGGGTGCTAAGAGCTCGAATTTGTCTTTGCAGTCAGGATGGGGTCAGTGGCGGGGTGAGAGACTGCTTTACCACTTCTGCATCGACGCTACCAGGGGACAGAGCCGTCTGCCCTGAAAGCAGCTTCAAGACAGAAAAATGAGGGCTGTGTCTGAAGGTTGATGTAAATCGATGCTCACGAAAAAGAGGGAGCTTGGGTTCGGGTCCGATGACTTGGCTCAGGTCCTTCCAAGGGTTCCAGTGAGAGCTGCTTTGTGAGGGTTATTGAGTCATTGCTTCATGACTTCACATGGTGTGCAGATGCAACTTCCATACATTCCTTGCCATCAAAGGCAAGGCTTTGCAGTCAGTAATTACCTTGCTGGTATCCACTCCTCCCGTGATAAATTGAGGAATTAGGAGGACAGAGAGAATGCTGGCTCACAAATCTCAGCCCTGTTTTTCCTTGCTGATCCACTGTTTATAATTCCAGAGATTCGTTTTAATTGGGGCCAAAGAAAGCTTTCTAGCAAGGCTTGATCTGGAGGGTGATTTATGCTCGAAGCAAAAAGACTGAATCGTTAATCAGGTGAAAAGCGCTAAGAGTAAGCAGGGGAAAACTCCTTCCTGAGTCAGCAGCACAGGAACACCAGAGCACTATCTCCGAAGGAGCACTTCTGTGGGCTGCAGATTTGTCGGCTGCAGTGCTGTTTATAGCCAAAAAGGACATGAGGAGCAACAGGTGATTTGGGGAGGTCACTGTGTGCAAAGGACAGGAGACAAGAAAGTGCCTTTTGTCTTCCGAGGTAGAAACAGAGCATCTTTTGGACTGGGAAATGAGGAAAAACCTCCTTAGAGCATCAGATCACTATGAGCAGCAATGCTGTTCAAGACGCTCTGCCCACTACAGCAGGCTGATGCACCATTCCGAGTCCTGCTTTGGTGGTGCTGACATTGGGCTTTGCTCAGGACAGGGCCTTCCCATGGTAAGAATCATAGAATCATATCATAGAATCATAGAATGGCCTGGGTTGAAAAGGATCACAATGCTCATCCAGTTCCAACCCCCCGCTATGTGCAGGGTCACCAACCAGCAGCCCAGGCTGCCCAGAACCACGTCCAGCCTGGCCTTGAATGCTCCTAGGCATCCACAGCCTCCTTCGGCAACCTGTTCCAGAGTAAATAAGTAAGTAATGTTCACCTGGAGTATCACAGCAGGGATGGGAATGATGTAGGACAGCAGGAGCTGCACTGTCTGCTTCACATGTGCCTGAAAGAACTACTGCTGAACTCCTAAGTGGTAACTGGTGATCAGAGGGTCTCTTGGGACCATTATGTAAATGTATTAATTAGTTCTCATAAAGTATTTTAATATGCTAAATATTATCATACTGCACTTGTTATCCTGTCAGAAGCACAGCTGACAATGACCTGGGCTTGTTAGCACTGAGGGAGAACAATTCCACAATGCCTCCAGGTTTTTGCCAAAGGGGAAGGAGAATAGGTGAGCTGGAGTTGTGTTGGTGGTTTGGCACCAAAGGCTGAACCTTCCCACCGATATTCCTGTTGCTGTGACAGTGTTGCTGTGTTGGTGTGACATACGGCAGCAGAGAGGCAGTCTGGCAGAATGGCACCTGACATGGAAGTGCATATGGAGCAAAAGTGTGTCATCAAATTCCTCCGTGAGGAAAAAATGACATTCATTGACATCTGCTGAATATTTATGAAGACCAACACAGAGAGGCAGTAGGTGGGCTGCATTGCAGCAGTGGTGACAGTGGTTACCTCCACTGGTGCAGAATTTTACAAGTGTGGCATGTAGGCTCTTGTTCAATGCTGGTGAAAATGCAGAGCTAATGGTGGCGACTATGTTGAAAAATAGTGTTTTGTAGCTGAGATTTGGCTCTATCAAATAGCACTGTTGTGCTCTTTGTTCCAGTTGTAGTTTTCCATGGAAGTAAACAGGAGACATAACTTTTGAGCGATCTCTGTGTATGCAGCCCAGTACAACTGCCATTCACTTAATGTGGCTCCGACGAGCCAAAAGGTTGGACACCCCTGAAGCAGATGATCCTATAAGACCTGCTTTCCTTCCTATAGCAGTGATTCTCAGCTTTTCCCATACCAGGACCTTCTCATCCACCATGAGCCCCCTCCTGCCCTTGGCCCTGATCACTGTGGGAAGTTCAGATTGCTCTGCCAAGTGTGAAAAACCAGACATGTTTTGTGCCTGCGTACAAACTCCCAGTTGTAAAACGCCTTGCTGTCCTCTATAGAATCACCAGTTACTCCACAGGGACTTAAACTACGTGCCAGATATTACTGGTCACTGTAAATGAGGCAGCTCGTGTAGACCTAATGGCTGTGGTTGGTTGGGGCTCAGTGCTTTTGTTATATACTTATATAGGAAGGTTTTTGGGCTCTGTGCTGTGGTCCTCTTGCAGTTACCTGGTACGTAACCCTCTGGGAGGTGCAGTGGTGCCTTTGCAGCACACTGGGCTCCCAAGGATCTGAGGAGTGTGCTTTGGAGTGGCCCCGTTTCTCCTACAGGAAACCATGGCTCAAACCTGACTCACCTGAAGCTGGTAGGAAGCTGGATGTTGACTTTCAAAGCGCCAGATTTTCACCTTTTATCTTTCCTCTGCAGGAGCTCAAGGATAACATGGTGGAATTTGCTTTGCAAAACAGGGACTCCTTGCAGGAAAGGAGAAATGTCAAAGTGTACGCT